CCTTGCCTCCCTCCGTCCGACCATGGCCTTGCCTCCCTCCGTCCGACCATGGCCTTGCCTCCCTCCGTCCGACCATGGCCTTGCCTCCCTCCGTCTGACCATGGCCTTGCCTCCCTCTGTCTGACCATGGCCTTGCCTCCCTCTGTCTGACCATGGCCTTGCCTCCCTCTGTCTAACCATGGCCTTGTCTCCCTCCATCCAACCATGGCCTTGCCTCCCTCCGCTGCCATCCTGAGCTTAATAGAGGAGAAAGAAACATAAGGATGGAGACAAACTGAGGGGGCCAGACAAAGAAGAAAAAGAGAAATAGAAGGGAAGGAAATAAAGGGGAGAAAGTAGAAGGGGGAGGGGAAGCACCCAGAGTAGTCAGCCCTGACAGGGGAGTGTGCAAACTGAGACAAAATCACCTAAAGGAGAACCGGGGCGAGCCTCCCCGGCTGCTGCTTCCCCCAGCACATCTGTTTGAAGCCCTGTGAGGGGAGGCTTTAAAGACATGAATGAGAAGAGGGTTAAACTGGGTCCGTTTGAGAGAGAAAACAGGTGGGTGGTTGTTGGCGAAGTGACTAGGATGCTAGTGGACAGACTGGGTAAAGAAATGGTTTTGCAAATAATTTCAAAATATTTTGGGGTTTCCAGAAATAGTCACCAGCATCATGTTTGCAGCACTTATCGTAGGAGTGCTGCCAGATCATCTTTTATAGTCATGCCCACCCGTCTCTGCAAGGCTGAGACACCAGGAAAGGCTTAACTCCTTGGGGGCGCGCTGTCACAGCAGGGTTTTTAAAATGTACAGTACTCAAGTAGTTACCCTTCTGCCTGTTCTTCTGGACTCCCCACCACCCTCTCATGCCTGTACAGGTCCTGGTGATGCCACAAGAGACCCACGTTACCACCAAAACCTGCAAAGCGTTCAGATGGAATCCGCCCGCAAGTGCAGGCACACAGGTGGGCAGTGCAGTGGTCAGCTGAGGTGTGGCCAGCAACTTTCCCCACCCTGCCACAGCTGCTGTATCCAGCTGTATCCAGCCCCCCCAAAATTTTCCTCTCATGCTTTCCAGTTGACTGAGAAGCTCTCCAGCTGGTGACCACGGGAGCTGCTGTTGTCAGGGAAACCCTTCACTGTGTGGCCCTCGGTGGGGAGGATCCAACTGGGACCAGGCCAGGTGGGAAAAGTGGAGGAAGGAAGAGCTTTTCCTTCTTCAGGAAAAAACTCCCCCACCCACTTCAAGGCCAGAGAGCAGGACCCAACCTTAATGTTCTGTCAGCTCCCTCCCCATTTCTCCTAGTTTTCCAGAATGCTCTCCACTGCCCCAGGATTCCGACCTCTGTTCTATCCAGAAAAAGAGATGCTGGAGGTCCCTTTGCTCTGGGGATACTCTGCCATATCTTGTCGGGAGTCTAGGCTTTAGACGGACGGGCTGGGTGGACAGATAACTTACATTCGGAGTCCTCACTCTTGAAAAAGCCGATGAGCTTGATCTGGTCCTCAATGCGTTCAAAGGCTTGGACTTCCAGTTTGGTGTTAAGAATCTCCACTGGGTCTTCAATTAGCTGAAATCACACACACACATCACTGAAATATGTTCAAATAAGAGAACTCTTCCCCTCAGTGGGGAGCAGAGTCCTTCAGAGACAAGCTGCAGTGAGTGGCTTTGTGGCTGGTGCCTCCAACACCCACCCCACTCCTAACTGCTGTGGGCACAGCGGTGGTACGGTTTGAGGGGTTGATGTTGACTCAAGGGGTGGGATGATTGATCTGAGGTTAATTTTCTAGGAATAATTCTATTCCTCTGACCAGTTTTTCATTTTTTTTAAATTTTTTAATTGTAAATTAACAAATTATAGTTGTATATGCTATATATTTATGGGGTTCAAAGTGATGTCTTGACGTATGACTAGAACATGAAATAATTAAATCAAGCCAATTAACATCCGTCACCTCAAATACTTATTCCTTGTGGTGAGAACATTAGACATTTATTCTCTCAGTGATTTTTTTTTTTTTTTGCAATTTTTTGGCTGGGGCTGGGTTTGAACCCACCACCTCCGGCACAGGGGGCCAGCGCCCTACTCCTTTGAGCCACAGGTGCCGCCCCTCTCAGTGATTTTGAAATGTATAACACATCTCAGGAAAACCTTATTCCTCCTGTCCAACTGAGGCCCTGGGCATCATCTTCCAGTTCCCTCCACCTCCCGCAGCCCCTGGAAACCACCGTTCTACTCTCTCTACTGTGAGTTTGGTGCCTTCGTGAGAGCGGGCGCTTTAGTTTTCTGCACACAGTGTTCTCCAACGCCATCTTTATGGTTGTAAATGACAAAGTATATTTCTTTTTATGGCTGAATAGTATTCCATCGGGCATATATAACACCCTTTATTTATCCATCCATCTGTGGATGAACATTTAGGTTGATTCCCTAACTTTATTGCTCCAAGTGACTGACCCCAGAAGGATAGATTTGCTAAAGGCTTTAGGACAGTTCTTTACTCTCAAGAGGGCAATGGGAAGCCCAGATCTATTTTTTTTTCTATTATCAGACATGAATGAAGAAATGTGAGGTATCTGCTCCTGCTTCTAGCCGTCTCATAACTCTCTTGAGAATAATCAGGACACAGGCAACATACCAAAGCAGAATTATCCGTGATTTACAATGAAAAGCTGGAGCTAGACCCCTGATTTGATGAAGTCTAAAACCTGCTCTGACTCTGCCTAGTCTTCTGCTTATGTGGCTCAATCACACTGTCTATTATTTCAAGCAGTTAGAGTGTCATTTCCAGAGCCTCTCCCTAGCTGATAAAGTTGGGACAGTGCCATGTTGGCCCAGAGTTGTCCTGTTGCCCTTCCTTCGGGCTGTCAGTGTGGGTCAGCGGATGGCCAAGCAGGGTCAATGATCACTTTTTTTTTTTTTTTTTGTAGGCCTTCAACTCACTTCTAACCTTCTCTCTGGTTTTTGAGGCTATAGAGAAAGAGCCATAGATTACAGGGTGCTGGCTGGTAGATGCGGAACTGTCAGTATGGATTCAGTGGTAGGTATTTTATCTGAGCAAGAACATGTGTGCAAAGCATTTAACTGTATAGCTGTTGCTGAATGTGTGAGTTTCTCTATGCATGAAATATTTTAACAGCGTTTGTTCCTCTGTGTGTATGGATCTGAAGGTGTGGCGCCTTCTGGGCTGAGAGTGAGTATGATAATGGGGGGATCTTTAGTGCTACCCTGTCTGGTGCTCTGAGGAGATGTGGCTGATTGGTGCTCCTGTCCCTCCTCTCTCTTTAGGTGACTCCTTATCCCCGCCTCCCATGTCCACCGGCTCCTCTTCAGCAGCCATGGAGCAAGGCTGTAGGAATTTTGGTTGATGTTGGTGCATCCGTGGTAAGAAATTGGCACGTTACCACTGCATGGTCCTGGTTTCTCACCCTCTAGACCCTGATAAGCACTTTCTGGGGTGACCTGGGAGCCAGTTTCCCAGAAGTAGATGGCAGAATGATGTGGGTGCGCCTTAGCTTCTTCTGGAGCCTGAGAAACCTGTCTTAGACCAGGTCAGCTTTCCAGGCTTCTCTGTTCTCACTTTGGGGTTTTAGTTCCCTCTGAGCCCAGGCAGCTCCACACAGACCCCTGTGCTTGAACACTCACATCCAGGAGAAACTCCACCAGAACGTCAGCGGCAAACTCGCCGTCAAACTCGACTGTGCGGTCGCCCTTAAGGATGTACAGGCTTCCTTCTTCATTAAAACCTGGAAGAAAGAAAGAAGCCCAAGGACAAGGTCATCCTGGTGTAGCCAGATCCATGTGTCAGCTGAGGTCTGAGTCAGATTCCCTGGGTGATGACAGTGGGGTCACAATCAAGGGAACTAGACCATGTTCCCCCAAAGAACACCACCGGAGGGCTGGCAAAGTGGGCATTTAAAATTTGAAATAATTAGGAACTAATGATTCCAACTGGGTTTTAACTTAAGATAAAGCTGTTCTTCACCTCACCCCTGCTTTAGTTTTCTAAAAATACTACTGACCCCATGTCATTCTTCTTATCAAAAATTTGTAATGGCCACTGTCCACCTGACTCCTTAACCTGGCGTTTGAGTCCTTCCACAGTCTGAGGGCAGCCCCCCCCCCCTTTCTCCCTTGAAAGGTAGGAGTGCTTTCTATCTAGCTGGGCTTGGAGAAAGGCTTGTGTAGAGGACCCAGGCCCTGTCACCCCCGTTTCTGTCCCTTTTTTATCACTACTTGCCCAGCCTCTCTTCCCTGAAGTTTCAGATCCTCGGGGCACTAGAATTTTCCTTTACCTAAACTTATTGGAAATGCTCCTAAATTCAACTTCTCATTAAAATGGTGGGAAGGGAGATTATCCAGGCAGTAGGCTGCCGAGGGAGGAGGTAGGATTCATTGCAGTGTTTTTGACTCCAGGGAGAGAGTTGGACATATCTGTTCCCATGCTCAAGGGGAAAATATTTCTTAATATGTCTCCGGGGAAAGAGATGCCTTATCACTTTAGAGTCCTGTGTTCTTGCCTAACCTAATGTCTCCTATACTTTAAATCTTAAAAAAACATTCTGATCTTCTTGAAAATAAAACAGAAAATGCTTGTTTGTAATTTTCTAGGATAATGAACTTTTATGTACCTGAAGGTATTTATTGAACCACCACTAATCTTTTTGCTTCTGCGCTTATGACTCCACATCCAATTAACCTTTCTTCAAAGGTCCTGTTTTATAACCTCCTGCTATTTTTTTAACAGCCATTCTTCACCGATCATGCAGAAAAAGCCAAATGGGCAGTACATGTGTGGGCGTTTGAAAACCAGGAGTTGCCTCTCTTCTCTCTCCTTGGGATTACAAGGTAAGACTCTTCAAGTGCACTGCCCTTAAACATGACATATCGACAGGAGAGATTACAACTTCCATTGTGCAGCCACTTAACCGTTACCGACCTAAATCCTCCCTCTCACCCTCGATGATACTGCCCAGCTGGGGTTCAGCCTTAAATTTACAAACCACAGGGACACTTAGTCACCATTAATGCTATCTTTTGTTGGCTGCTTCAGCCAAGAGGCAAGGAAATAAGAAATAACAAAAGAAGAGATTTTAACTCTCTCCGAGAGATCAGAGACGTGAGATAAGAGAAACTGGCTTTTAGCCTATTTTAGGAGCTGAAACAAAGGCTTGACTCTTCAGTGTCAGTTTCTCCAGGAAGAAACTCTCTTCCTTGTACTGTTACAAAGGTATATAAGGTCTGACAATTAAGTTCCCAAACTCATCCTAAAAAATGTGGCACCCACCCCATTGACCGTCGCTATGGGCATGTTGGAAGAGCTCCCCTCGGGAAGCTCTGCACCAATGCCAGCACCTATCCACCCTTCAGAGCAATTTTGGAATCATTCTTTTCCTGGAATGACTGTAAGAGCTGCTGTTGTACGAGGTTTGACACTGTGCACTTGTGTTGGCAGTCCTGTACAAACAACCCGGTGAGGCTCCAGACCCGTGCCATGTCAGTGTCTCTCAGCTGTGCACGTGTGGCAGGGTCTTACTGCGTGGTGTTCATTATTGCTATCTAGGGACAGCTCTGATGGTCAGTCCAGAAAAGGAGTTCCAAATTGCTGTGAAGGATGGACTAGGCACTGGCATTGGCGCACAGCTTCCCAAAGGGAATACTTAGAAGGTGACCATAGTGATATTCAGCAATGAGGTATGTAGCACGTTTTCTAGGATGAGTTCATGAACTTAATTATCAGAACTTCGTATTACATGGTTATTGTAAAATCATTTAATCCAGGCCTATCTTCTATGAAATTCTTCTTGAACCCAAGACTAAGGTCCACAGGACCATTTTATATTTCTTTAAGAATAGCCCAATTGTCTTGCAAGAATAAAGGCAACTGTACTTTTTTGGTGAGATACATTGTTTCTTGCTGATACAGAGTATCTCAAACATCACACTTACCCAGTTTCTTGGCAAGCCTGGCTTCTTTCTTGGAATCCACCATGGCAAAGCCTATATCTTTATGTTCCAGGATTTGGGCCACAAGCTGAAGGGAAAAATAGAAAGATAAGTAGGCAAGGGGCAGAAAGATGGTAGAAGATACCACGGCATTAGGATGCTGTCGTGTTGACTGGAGGGATTTTCTCCACGCTTCCCGTCATCCTATGACCAATTCAAGCAGCAGCAAAAGGATTCTATGCTTGTCCCCAAAGAAGAAGGAAAATTCAGGAGAATTCTAGGAACAAAGGAGAGAAAATCTGAGGGAGAATTTGGAAGAATAAATCCACTATCACATACCATTTTCTGGCCTCAAAGTAGATCAGATTTGGATAAGGAGGGAGAAGAATCAGAAAGGAAGCATGGACTCCTAACACAGGGCCCTGAGCCCTTCCCTAGCTGCCAGATGAACCTGGGGTGGAGTGAGGACGCAAGAGGCCCTGAGCCAGAGGAGGCCTGTGGCCCCAACCCGGGCTTAGCCCTGGCGCCTCCTCCCTCCTTGGGCTCATGGAGTAGGGAGGCCCAGGGGGGCATATCTGGTGAATATACGGTGGCCTAGTAAGGTTTTCTGCAGCACATTGAGAAGAAGAATGAATAGAGTGTAGGGGAACAGAGGGAGAGGACGGAGGATGCAGCAGTGTCCTAGAGGGACAGATGGCTGGAAACTGCCCAGGGCAAACACCAGCAGAGATGATGACACCACACAGGAGACTGGCATCATGTTAAGTTTCCTGAAACTTAGATATGAGCTAGTAGGGAGATGGTCGACTGACCCAGATCTAATTCTTGTCATCTGGCTGAACAGGGGCATGAAACAGAAATGAAGTGAACACGCTACCAGAAAGATCCTGAGCCACTAATGTTTCTTTTTAAGGTATCATCTCCATTTCTATGATTTTGTCATTTCAAGAACGTTATATAAATAGAATCATATAGTATGTGATGTGTTGAGACTCCTTCCTCCCTTCTGCCCTCCGTTGCTCCTTTTCTTCCTTTTCTTCTTTCTTCTCTTTCTTTCTTTTTTTTTAAGAGACAGGACCTCTCTTTCTGTAGCCTAGGCTAGAGCGCAGCAGCATGACCATAGTCTACTGAAACCCCAAACTCCTGGGCTCAAGCAACCTTCCTACCTCAGGCTCCTAAGTAGCTGGGACTACAGGTGCCCACCACCATGTTCAGCTAATTTTTCTATTTTTAGTAGAGATAGGGTCTTGCTCTTGCTTAGGTTGGTCTCAAACTCCTGAGCTTAAGCAATCCTCTTGCCTCAGCCTCCTGAGTAGCAGGGACTACAGTACATTCCACCTCGAACAGCTAATTAAAAAGAATTTTTTTGTAGATATTGGGGGGCTTACTATGTTACCCAGGCTGATCTCAAACCCTGGCCTCAGAAACCCTGCTGCCCTGGCCTCCCGCAGTGCTGGGATTACAGGTGTGAGCGATCACACCTGACTGATTTTTTTTTTTTCACTTAGCGTAATTATCTATAGATTTGTTCAGTTTATTGTATTTATCAATACGGTACTTCTTTTTATTGCATAGAATTTCATGGTATGGATGTGCTGTAACTTGTTTAATTATTAGCCCATTGAAGGAAATTTGCGATGTTTCTAGTTATTGGCCATTATGAATGGAGCCACTGTAAACATTTGCATATAGGTTTTTGAGTTAAATATTAGTCTTAATTTCTGTGAAATAAACTCCTACAAGTACAATTGCTGGGTTGTGTGGTGGCTGCTTCTTCAGTTTTTAAAGAAACTCCCAAACTGTTTTCCAGATAGGCTGTACAGTTTTTACAGTAAACGAGATGTAGGTTATCCAGTTTCTCCATGTCCTCGTCAGCTTTTTGGTGACATAACTACTTTTTATTTTAGTCATTGTGACAAATATGGAGCATATCTCATTGTAATTTGTATTCGTGTTTTCCTAATGGCTAATGATGTTGAATATTTTTTATGTGCTTACTTGCCGCGTGTATGTTTTCTCCCATATAATGCCTGTTCATGTCTTTTCCCATTTTCTACTTGGATGATGATGATGATGATTATTTTGAGACAGAGTCTCTCACTTTGTTGCCCTTGGTGACATGGCGTCACAGCTCACAGCAACCTCAAACTCTTGGGCTTAAGTGATTCTCTTGCCTCAGCCTCCCAAATAGCTGGGACTACAGGTACCCGCCACAATGCCTGGCTATTTTTAGAGTCGAGGTCTCAATCTGGCTCAGGCTGGTCTCCAACCCATGAGCTCCAGCAATCCACCCGCCTCGGCCTCCCAGAGTGCTAGGATTACGGCATGAGCCACTGCACCTGGCTGCATTATTTTTTGATCTTTGAGTTTTGAGAGTTTCTTTACTACTAGTCCTTTTTTTGATGTGTGGTTTGTAAATATTTTATCTCACTCCAGGGCTTGTCTTTTCACCTTCTTAATGGGGTCTTTTATAAAACAAAAGTTTTTAATTTTGATGAAATCCAGTTTTTCCCTTTTATATTTCTGGATTGTACTTTTGGTGTTAAATCTAAGAACTCTTGGCCTAGCCCTCGATCTTGAAATGTTTTTCTTTCTTTCTTTTTTTTTTTGTAAAATTTTCACAGACAGACATAGTGGCTCATGGCTGTAAGGCAGAGAGGCAGGAAGTTTACTTAGGCCAGGAAATGGAGACCAGCCTGGGCAATCTAGTGAGACCCTATCTCTAAAAAGAAAAAAGTAATTAGCTGGGCATGGTGGCATGTGCCTATAGTCCCAGCTATTTGGGAAGCTGAGGGAAGAGGTTTGCTTCAGCCCAGGAGTTCAAGGCTGCAGTGAGCTATGGTCATTGCATTTCAGCCTGGGTGACCAAGTGAGACCCTGTCTCTAAACATAAATAAATGAACATGTAAATAAATAGTCTTATAATTTTTACATTTTAAATTAAATTTTGTACAAAGTGTGAGAGTGGTTGAGGGTGGTTTTGTTGTGGTTGTCATTTTTTGCCAATAGATGTCCAACTGTTCCAAAACCATTTGTTGACAAGATCATCAATGGACTTGCTTTTGTGCCCTTATCAAAAATTAGTTGCTGTGTTCATGTGGGTCTATTTCTGGTCTATTTCTATCTAATTGGTCTATGTGTCTGTCCCTCTACTGATACCACATGGTCTTCATCACATTAGATGTATGGCAAGCCTTGAAAACAGGTAGGCTGCCTGGTCCCACCTCATTCTTCTTTTTCAAAATTGCTATAGCGATACCAAATACTTTAGCATTTCCATACGAATGTTAGCAAAAAAAAAATCTTCCTAGGATTTTGGTAGTACTTGCTTTAGCTTGGAGAGAATCGTGTATTTACAATGTTGACTCTTCTACTTCACGAACATGTTAAGTCTCCCCATTTATTTGATCTTTGGTTTCTTTCACCAGCATTTCAAAGTCTTCACAAATAAGTCCTGTGCAAGTTTTGTTAGATTTATACCTTAACATTTAAGTTCTTTCAGTGACCATAAGTGGTGTTATATTTTTAATTTTAGTGTCCATATATTTATTGCTATTATATAAATATGCAATGGATTTATATTTATCTTGTACTGGCAGCCCTGTTATACTCATTTATTAGCTCCAAGAAGTTTGTGTTTTGTAGAACTCCCTGGAATTTTGTATGTAGACAATTTTGTCATTTGTGAATAATTTCTTCCTTTCCAATCTATATGCCTTTATTATTTTTTTTTTTTCTTTTTGAGACAGAGTCTTACTCCGGCACCCTGACTAGAATGCCATAGCATTATAGTTCACAGCAACCTCACATTCTTGGGCTCAACCCATCCCCTTGCCTTAGCTTTTATTTTATTTTTAGTGGAGACAGGGCCTTGCTCTTGCTCAGGCCGGTCTCTTGAGCTCAAGTGATCCACCTGCCTTAGCCTCCCAGAGTGCGAGGATTACAGGAGAGAGCTACCACGCCCGGCCTTCCACCTGCCTTTTTATTTCTGTATGTTTTCTTACTATACTGGCAAGAACTTCTGACACTGTTTTGAATAGGCGTGCTGTGTGTTTTTTCTTTGCTTCTCCCTTGCAAGGATTTGTGTATATTTCCTTCCATTCCTCCCAGTTTTCTTCACGTTCGGTAGCTCTGTGGTTTGCTTCAGACACGGGCGGGGCTGCTTGTCTTCCAGGCGGCATGACCCTGGGTCTGTCTGGCCCTACAGCGCACGCTGCGTCCCAATTCTTCCACTTTGTGTTGTGTAGTTGCATCCTTCATGTGCTCTTCATTCTTCGTTTCCCAGCGTCTATGGCCTCTCCTTTGGATTGCCTCTCCTGTTACAACTTCCCGAGGTCTCTCTTTGCCTGTTTATCTTCCCTCCCTGACTTTCTCAGCTGCTCCCCATGCTCTTCCTCTCTAGTTCCTAATCACTCCCATCTAAGTCCCAGGAGACTGGGCAGAAGCACAGAGAGCTGCCTGAGAAGTGGTCTTGGTGGAGGAGGCTGGGGTGGGGAGAAGTAGCAGATGGCACCCCTCTCCCACCCCCCCACACAGTATTCTCTGCTTCTGGGATTCTGGCTGAGACTAGGAAAGACTCAGGATGAAAGGCAGTGTCATTGTTTGTGTATGACTCATCTTGAGCTTTCCTGCTTTGCCTAAATAGACCAGTTGTTCTTCAAGGTCACTTATATTTAGTCTATTGCACTCAATTTATTAGACAAGGTCATTGTTGAATGAGTTTTCTGGCTTTCAGGATAAGCTACTCTCCCATTTAGTGCTGTCAAGATCTTAAGTTAAATGTTCCCTTGTCTATCACTCAAAGTGAGGACTGATGAGCCACAGTGGCTTCGTGATATACTAAGTTATCTTTTTCCTAGAACTTGAGCCTCTGACAGTGGTTTTTACTGTGCATAAAAATCACCCATGTGTCGAAATGGGGCTTTCTGGGCCTTAGCACAAAAGAGTAAAGAATAGAGCTGGGTGGAGCTCAGGAATTCATATTTTTATAAACCACACGACCACACCCCATGATTCTGACACAGCAGACTTCATACCACACCCTGGAAAATGCTGCTATAAATGGTTGTCATTCACCCAAAGTGATGC